TTGCTAAAAATCGTGCAAATTAGCGTTAAATCGAGTATTTATAGTGTTTAGATTTCATCCCGCCAAGCGGGATAGCGCGTTCATATGGGAATCGATTTATCCCGTCTACCTATGATCTCGCCTCTCAAAGGCGAGATCCCGGCTAGCGGGACAATTCGTTTTCCCATATGAACGCGTTGTAAGTTTTACTAGTAAAAGTAACACACGACGAGATCATAGGTAAGCGAGACGTCCCGGTAAGCGGGGTCATATGAACAGGGCCTTAGAAGAGTTGCTTACCGCTAAGTTAAGAATAATCATTATATGGATTGACGGCAAAATAACCAAAATAAAGTCTTTGTTTTGTGTAAAATGGTACAAAATCATAAAATATTGAATGCGTATATAAATAGTGTTTTGATACTCTTTAGTGTTAACCTCTCCCCTGAATATGGTTTGCGTATTCATTTCCGGAACGGTGTTTCCGTGCTTCCGGTAAAGTCCACCTTTTACTAACGAGTCCAGTCCACCTTTTCTAACGAGTCCAACCCACCTTTCACTATATAACGAGTGTAGTCCACCTTTTACTAACGAGTCCAGTCCACCTTTTCTAATGAGTCTAACCCACCTTTTACTATATAACGAGTGTAGTCCACCTTTTACTAACGAGTCCAGTCCACCTTTTCTAACGAGTCCAACCCACCTTTTACTATATAACGAGTGTAGTCCACCTTTTACTAACGAGTCCAACCCACCTTTTACTATATAACGAGTGTAGTCCACCTTTTACTAACGAGTACAGTCCACCTTTTCTAATGAGTCTAACCCACCTTTTACTATATAACGAGTGTAGTCCACCTTTTACTAACGAGTCCAGTCCACCTTTTCTAATGAGTCTAACCCACCTTTTACTATATAACGAGTGCAGTCCACCTTTTACTAACGAGTCCAGTCCACCTTTTACTAACGAGTCTAACCCACCTTTTACTATATAACGAGTGTAGTCCACCTTTTACTAACGAGTCCAGTCCACCTTTTCTAATGAGTCTAACCCACCTTTTACTATATAACGAGTGTAGTCCACCTTTTACTAACGAGTCCAGTCCACCTTTTACTAACGAGTCCAGTCCACCTTTTACTAATGAGTCCAGTCCTCCTTTTACTAATCCAGTCCAGTCCATGTTTTACCGAATTCGTATCTTCATTGGCTGTCAGAACAGCGAGAACAAAAAACAGCCAATGCATTAGGTTACAAATTCGTCATTTTTCAAACGTTCTCAAACGTCTACAGCGCGGATCCAGCAACGGCCAATCCAAAAAATGAGTAAAATATCAAAAAACATATTCACATTTTTCTCGCTTCTATAACTTGTTTTCAAAGTTAAAACATAGGCAGTATATAGTAAAAATATTTCAGATTTCATTTCACTTGTTATTTTAGATTAGTTTTAGGTATTAACTGGCGTATTTTCGGATTGTTTTCATGTGTACATCTCGATATTGTGATTAAAGTTGCCTACCTAGGATATAATATCATACCATGCATGGATAATAAAATCACAATAATAAACTCTTTTAACTATTCATAATTATACAATATAATAGACTACCTACATTGCATGATCATTGTCAGACACACATATTGATATTCGCATGTAAATTATAGACAAGTACATAAGCATGTAAATAAATGACACAATGTGTCTATTTCATCAAAGTGTGCATTTTTATTTCAAATGGGGATTAGAATTTAACTCCTGAAATGGTGTTTATTTGTAACCTCGATTATTTTAACACTGTTTTTGGTGTTAAAATAACACCTGAAAGAACTTGTCGATACTCGATCGATTCATTGACTTCTAAGTCGAATCATGAGTCGAGTCCTTGCTCGATATAGTAAGTATATATTTTAGCCCTTTGTTTAATGTTATTTCTAAACAGCGTGCTAAGTTAGTTGGGCCTTCAAAGCAATTGCAATTCTTCAATTTGCAATTCAATTGTAAATCAAGGTGATTCAAATTCATCTTCCTCTTCAGCTCGATATTATTCATATCAGGCTATATATAGCTCATAATCGCATGCGTGGAATATTATCGTAAAATTTCCTGCATTACTCATTTGTCAATTGCGATTAGAGGTGGCGGAGACAGTCTGACAATTTACGGAATTAGTCCCGCTGCGCAATTTTAAGTCATTATATCTTTTATTAGGAAATTTATTGTTTTTGCTGAAGTTGATTCAGTCGAAAAACACCTTAATAATATCAGCGAATAGCGGACTAAATCGCTAGGCTGGCCACTCAAACATTCTGAACGTTAAAATAAACTTCGAACATAGCGTATTCATTGATGTAATTCATCATTTCATCACTAAATGCAAGGGAAAATTGGGTAACGTGGGTGGCGAACGTAGTAATTATAGATTAACGTAATTCCATCACCGACAACTAAATTGTCCAAATTACGTAATTTTGATTGATAAACCGATAAATAATGGATAAAACGTTTATCTAAAAATTCAATGAATACTTGTCATTCTATTGGTGATGGGTTCCAATTAAAGATGCGGGAAGCATCTTGGCAGCGTCTTCAAATAATTTCGCATCAAATGTGGAATAAAGGCTTTCATCAGGAGATTCATTCTATTTATTGCAGAAGTCGGCTCCCTCTGGCGACTACATGCAGTGTTGACCACTTCATTTCTACATCAGTTATCAAACACATGTCTCTAACGGTTAAGAGACAGTTAAGAGACAGTTAAGAAGAGCAACATTGTTTGACTTGTTAACCTGAATGTGAGGTCTCACCATCCACAGTATAAGCAACCATGAGATTACATCATGAGAAACTGTCTCTGAAACGATCAGTTATAGACATTTTTTCATAAATTGTTTGAAGTTCTGATAAGATAAGTATGCATGAATCTGACCTAGCAATCTATAGCCATTGTCTGCATAGATTGTGATAATATCTGGCGACAACATAGAGAAATCAGCTGACAGCAATGCATCTTGGAAGGTTGTCAGCTATACATTGTTCGCTACTGGAACTTTGACAGTAAAACAACGTATTGATCTTATATAGAAAATAAACTACAGTTGTATGGATAATTGATAATCATGTTTCCGTGTTTACGAGTCTAACAGCACGAACATAAATAGCTACAAGTTTGGAAATTCAAAATATCTGCTTTAGGGAAATATATAAATGCAGTTACAACTGAACACATAACCGGGTTTAAACCTGGAACCTATGGTCAATAAATTTTTTTATAGCATAATCAAATGGTTGTTTCTAAATTATTAAAATAGCGAAGTTATGCTCAAGCTGAGTTCGGTATTTGTACTCTTGATGTATTTGTTGTTAAAAGGAATTAGCTATTTGTGTTAAAATACCACAACGAATATACTGTATAATATTCAGGAAAATTTCTGTTTAAGAAGGCAACTGAAGCAAGTGAGTGAAAACAAACCTTGAAATACTGTATACTGAGTCGATAGAGTTCCGGGTGACGACAGAAATGCGTCATGCACAAGTGCATGTAAGCTAGATATTATATAGTGAGCCTTGATCGAGAAAGTTCCTCATATTGTACTGGCGTGTATTGATAGAAAGCATATTAGTCAAAATGTGAAGTTATAAAGGGAAAAGTTTTACATTGTACAAATAAATTTAAACAATTCCTTCTAGAATCGTTACGTATTTAAAATGTTTGAGGTAAAAACTGGAGAAATCTCTGCAAAGCCGGTCAAAGTTTCATGAACTATTTTTACATGGCTTAACTATTACTTCTGCCGCCCCAATTTGCCCCTGTTATGAAATCCTTATAGATTTACTGGAATGCATGGAATGAGGTTGAAGCTTAAGTTTAGATCTGCTTTCATTAAAACTTCGGGTTGCTCGGTTTTATAATTTGCCATGTGTAATAGCGTCAAGTGGCATGCATGCGTGGGACAGATTTATCGCGTTTATCTTGAATCTACTAAAACATGAAAATTTGCAGAAACGTAATTGTATAATCTTTCGTGAATCGTGATGCTAAATTTTTGCCTTGGTAATAGACCACGGGTTGATAATTTAAAACGCCTGTTCTGGCGTTAACTCCACGTGTGCTAGTCTTTTCAATATATAAAGCTAGTTCATATCATTTTATTTTAGAATCGTGGCGAACCGAAATGTTGTTCGACATTCAGACAGCACATCGTATTTTAAAAAGTATAGAAGCTCAAAAATGTATTCCAATTGTAATTGCATGTTAATTCCTGAATTCAACTGATTGTTCATATGATAACATTTTTAATAAAGGTCTTTGATAAATTGTTTGAAGTTCTGATAAAATAATTATGCATGAATTTGATCTAGCAAGCGAGTTGCTCTCGTATGGTGATGTGTCTATATAGCTATTGTCTGCATAAATATTCATTCATATAACATCTAGCGACCACCGTAGGGAAATCAGCTGACAGCATAGCCTGTTCGAAGGTTTGTTTCAACTATACATTGTTCCCTACTGGAACTTTGAAAGTGAGACAACGTATTGATCTTATATAGAAAATAAACTAAAGTTGTATGGATAATTGATAATCATGTTTCAGAGATTACGAGTCTGACAGCACGAACATAAATAGCTACAAGTTTGGAAATTCGAAATATTATTGTGAAATATATATAACTGCATTTACAACTGAACCGGGTTTAAAGCTGGAGCCGACAGTCGATAAAATTTTTTATCGCAAAATCAAATGGTTGTTTCAAAATAATTAAAATAGCGAAATTATGCTCCAGCTCAAATTCTGTTTATAACTCTTAATGTATTTGTTGTTAAAACGAATTATAGCTATTTGTGTTAAAATACCACAACGAATATATATTATTCAGAAAAATTCCTAGCAACTGAAGGAAGAGAGTGAAAACAATACCTGGAAATATACTGAATAGATAAAGGTCAAGACAGGAAATTGCGTCATGCACAAATGTAAGCTATATATAGTCAGGCCTGATCGAGACAATTGCTCATTTTGTGCTGGCGTGTGTTGATAGAAAGAATATTTGTCAAAATCTGAAGTTATAAAAGGGTAAGTTCTTACAATGTACTAATAAATTTAAACAATTCCTTCTAGAGTCCTTACGTATTTATGATGTTTGACAAATGGGGTAAAAACTGGAGAAATCTCTGCAAAGTCAAAGTTCCATGAACTACTTTTATATGGCTTAACTATATTTCTGCCGCCCCAATTTGTCCCTATAGGTTTACTGGTAGGATGATTACTCCGGCGCGTGTGGTAGCCTTTTGAATAAATAAAGCTTCTGAACATAAACACTACAGTTCATATCATATTAATTTACAAGCGTGCACCAAATGTTGTTCGACATTCAGATAGCACATCGTACTTTAATAAGTATAGAAGCTCAAAAATGTATATGGGAGGGAGCAATATGGCAGCGTCTTCAAACAACTTAGCAAACAACTTAGCATTAAATGTGGTATAACAACTGTCTAAAAAAGACAAAATTAACACGTCGACGTTTCGACCTGAGAGCCTTCGTCAGGAAAGTTAGTATGAAAATAAATAGGGGAGAATACATGTTTTGTATGGGGGCAAAAACACGTGATAAAATTGGGCCAATAGAAAATAAAAAATCAAAACAAATTGGAATACATAACATTGCGAAAGAAACGGCTGATTGTGGGTCTAAAGGTAATGTTACACGGAACAATTTTCAACATCATCTCGCAACGCAATAATGTTGCGAAGAAATTAGCACATGTCAAACGAGAAAAATTTTCATGCAACATTGTTGCCTTAAAAATGACGATCTCAGGCTCTTCCACATTGCGAATAGTTCGGTCGCTGTATACTTGTACTCAAATGTTTCAACTAAACGAGTTGTAGCTTCCTCTTTTTCTTTTTTCCCATCTTTCCCAGGCTTGTTATCCCATAATGTGGGATTATTATTAAAAAACATTATTAAACGTAATTTATCACTATCGAAAAGCCCGCCAGCAGCAGATTTCTGAGGTGAAACATGATCGCAAATATTTGTTGTATCTTGACTCTCTTCGCTTTCCGCCATTTTGTTTATATTTCCCGCCACTTTCAAAGCTCAAACAAAGGTCTCTGGGTAAATTAAACAAAATTCCGAGCAACAATGTTGCATGGATTTGACGTCCGCTCATAAACTTTCAACATTGTTCCGCAACAATTTTGCTGTTGAAAATTGTCCACAAGCACCATGTTACACGCGTCAATTTTTCTCGCAACATTATTGCGTTGCGAGATGATGTTGAAAATTGTTCCGTGTAACATTACCTTAAGAATAGCCCGCAACGAGGGAAGCCTGATCAGCAACGAAAACATATTACAACCAGCTTTGATGTAAACAAAGAAATGGTAGTCATATTACTCTGGGTGAAGTAACTAAAATGAAAGGGAGTCTTTCATTTATGCCAGAGGGATGCAAAGTGCCAAGACTGTGGATTAGTCGCATTTCTTGTCGTTTACGGCTATCGTTATTACCGGAAATGGGAGAGAGGCTCTAATTTTCATGTCCGTGACACAGTGATTACCAGAGGTAAAGAGTCTGGCAACAGGCTTGGTGTTATCACCAAGGTAGCCCGCATGGCAGGCGATCCCTAACTTCGTGTTTCGCTATGTATTTTAGAAACTCTGTGCATTGACGGACGGGAATTGATGATCGACTCTCATGCAAGAGTACATAACATTATTCTAAATTTGTAACGTTCGGCATCTGGTCTTGGCGGAATTTATTGACGATTGCGTTCGCTCTGCTCTTATAAAACTAAATAATTCTCTAAAGTCGAAACGCGAACTGATTATCAAACACGAGCAAGAGATAGCGTTAAAAATTTACTGCTTGGGAAGCCTGTTTTAGCCGTTCTACCTATACTTTACGTGGCAAATATAAATATGAAAGCTGAGCGTAGTAGCGTTCTCGTTATTTTTTATCTTCAAGCTGTATTACTGTATAGGAGATCAAATTCTTCAAATAACCGAAATGCTTTCGATGGAAATGTTTCAGAAGTCGCCAAGTCTCTACCGCAATATATTTATACGATCGCAGATAGTGCATACCTATCTACATTGAGAATTTCTATCAACTATTGAGGCTTAGGATTCTCATAATTTATACTATTTTCAATGCCAGGCAAATTGACTGGGGAAAAAGAATTACTGATACACTCATATACTGTGTATTTATAAATATATAAATAATATATGATGTATACAAATTTTCCGACGATATAATATATGCAAGACAGAGTCAGACATATCTATTCTGTCGCCTCATACACAAACAACGACAGTGCATGCATTTATTCATTTATATTTTCAGCGCTGGCTCTTTTACCTCTTGTCCAGGTTTAAACGTTCTTTGGTGGTTCTTTTGAAATCTTAAATAATTATATTAATATATCGAAAAACCAGACTTCAATTCATAAACAAACTTACAGCCGAAAAATAATATATCGGCATGGTAGAAAACGCGGGTAGCGGACTACGGACTACGGATTACGGACTACGGATTACGGACTACGGATTACGGACTACGGATTACGGACTACGGATTACGGACTACGGATTACGGACTACGGATTACGGACTACGGATTACGGACTACGGATTAGGGACTACGGATTACGGACTACGGATTACGGACTACGGACTACGGATTACGGACTACGGATTACGGACTACGGATTACGGACTACGGACTACGGACTACGGATTACGGATTACGGATTACGGACTACGGATTACGGACTACGGATTACGGATTACGGACTACGGACTATGGACACAATCTTTAAAAAAATGCGAAGATGTTGCCTTCACTCAATAAAACATTTTGGCATTTTTTATATATTTTTTCAGGCTTTAGGTAAACAAAAGATTTTAGCAAAATTTCAGCATAGGAAACCATGCAGACAATTTGATAACATATATGGTGCTATTTTGTGAAAATTAATGACGTTAGTAATAACTAAGATCCGTAGTGACTATGTCACGCAGCTAGGAATTTTATGTTTTTTGTGCGCTTTTATAGGCAATTGCTTTCTCGGAGGTGCAAACTGTTATGCAAATTATTGATTTGGAGCGGTTTATTTGGGACTTCCTCGAGATAAGACACGATCGTTTTATGTATCAAACCACGTTTTAAACGATTTCAATTTGCACAGAGTCTTTATTCATTACTCTATGAAAGGCTATACAGCAACATTCAAATATGCAGTCGCCCATAAATATTTGCATGTAAACGTGAACGAGAATAAACGCAACACAATGTTCATGTAAATAAAATAAAAAACGGCGGAAAGCACATTCAACAAATTCCATATAGTTTTGCTATAATCCCATATCCCAGCTAGCACAATCACGTTGTATGAACGTTGTATTAGCGTTCGTCGAACGTTTGGATAACGTTATTTATTAATGTTGGGTAAACGTTTTTTTGTGAAATCGTAGGAACGTGGTATCAACGTTAGGATTAACGTTACAGCGCGACGTTAATACAACGTTCATACAACGTTCAACTCAATGTTCATATAACCTAATGTCCGACGTTAATGCAACGTTCAGCCAACGTTTGGCGCCAACGTTCGGCCAACATTAAGATAACGTTGGATATCAAGGTTGAGACAACGTGAATTGTTTCTGGGTATTTGAAAATTCCTGCAACTTCGTTTGCGAGATTGCGAATACAGATAACTTAGAGTCATCTGAGCCATTGTTCGCCAGCCTGTGAATACATGTAGATTTTATGTCATTGACATTGATTAAAACATTTCTAGCAAATTGACAAGACGGCTTCGACAAGTCGCGCTATAACGTTAATCCTAACGTTAATACTACGTTCCTACGAGTTCACAAAAAAACGTTATCCCAACGTTAATAAATAACGTTATCCAAACGTTCGACGAACGCTAATACAACGTTCATACAACGTGATTGTGCTAGCTGGGATATGGGATTATAGCAAAACTATATGGAATTTGTTGAATGTGCTTTCGCCGTTTTTTTATTTTATTTACATGAACATTGTGTTGCGTTTATTCTCGTTCACGTTTACATGCAAATATTTATGGGCGACTGCATATTTGAATGTTGCTGTATAGCCTTTCATAGAGTAATGAATAAAGACTCTGTGCAAATTGAAATCGTTTAAAACGTGGTTTGATACATAAAACGATCGTGTCTTATCTCGAGGAAGTCCCAAATAAACCGCTCCAAATCAATAATTTGCATAACAGTTTGCACCTCCGAGAAAGCAATTGCCTATAAAAGCGCACAAAAAACATAAAATTCCTAGCTGCGTGACATAGTCACTACGGATCTTAGTTATTACTAACGTCATTAATTTTCACAAAATAGCGCCATATATGTTATCAAATTGTCTGGTTACCTATGCTGAAATTTTGCTAAAATCTTTTGTTTACCTAAAGCCTGAAAAAATATATAAAAAATGCCAAAATGTTTTATTGAGTGAAGGCAACATCTTCGCATTTTTTTAAAGATTGTGTCCATAGTCCGTAGTCCGTAATCCGTAATCCGTAGTCCGTAATCCGTAGTCCGTAATCCGTAGTCCGTAGTCCGTAATCCGTAATCCGTAGTCCGTAATCCGTAGTCCGTAGTCCGTAGTCCGTAATCCGTAGTCCGTAATCCGTAGTCCGTAATCCGTAGTCCGTAATCCGTAGTCCGTAGTCCGCTACCCGCGTTTTCTACCATGCCGTTTTGTTATTATAATATTAACTGTTTGTGATTGGCTAATTGCGCTGGGACTGAAAAGGGGGCGGGTTAACAAAAAAACTTAGCCAAACCTGGCAGGAAGTCTTTCGTCGTCGTCGCCTTGCCCGATTTCAAGAACCGCCTGCCATGCAGGCTATCACCAAGCCTGTTGCCAGACACTTTACCTCTGGTAATCACTGTGTCACGGACATGAAAATTAGAGCCCTCTGTCCCATTTCCGGTAATAACGATAGCCGTTAACGACAAGAAATGCGACTCATTCACAGTCTTGGCACTCTCCATCCCGCTGGCATGAATAAAAGACTCTCTTTCATTTAAGCTACTTCACCCAGAGTAATATGACTCGCATTTCTTTGTTTACATCAAAGCTGGTTGTAATACGTTTTCGTTGCTGATCAGGCTTGCCTCATTGCGGGCTATTCTTAGACCCACAACCAGGCGTCTCTTTGCCACTGTAATGTGTTCCAATTTATTTTGATTTTTTGTTTTCTATTGGCCCAATTTTATCACGTGTTTTCACAGGTCAAAACGTCGATAAGTGTTTTGTCTTTTTTAGACAGTTATTATACCACATTTGATGCTATGTGTAATGTGTTTACGAATGTAGCTAAATGTTTCATACTCTCATTACTCTGTTAGTGCTTGATCGTATTCTTCTTCAATCGTGAAACAACTAAGGGACAAGTCGGCGCAAGGTTTTCGTTGGCGTGAATGATATCTAGACTCTTTGTGATGATCTATCTGAAAATTTTTCATTGTTCTTGCAATGCATGTTTACTTTCATATAATTTCTGCAGAAATCAAGCTAGTTTCAGCTCAAATATAGCAGTATTAATTTTGATTCGTATGGCGCATAATTGAGCGTCATGAAAAGTAAGACGCGGGCCAAGTGTCGGGTTTCTTCCACCTGCAACTTTTACAGCTGAACATCAGAACAAAAGTCCCGTACGTAACTATACTTTTCGGCAGGATGATAAAAAAAATAATGAAAGACAAGTGGGAATGTATGACCTGCGGAATTTACCAGAATTACAAAAATGGTAAAATCTTTGGTACAAGAGGGAGGATAAATTATAATAATTCTTATGTATAGCTGTACACTTAATATGCAAGCATATAATACAATACATAAGCAAAATAAATTTTATATGAATCGTGTTCAAATAGGCATGAAATTGCTCTACGTCACTCTTACGTATTCAAGAGCTTTAATCATACCCTTTTCCGCCAGTATAGTGGAACAGGTGGTGTAAAAACCAAATGTTCGATTTCTTGCATAACCATCTGGGGTATAATAGCGCTAAAGGCCAGGGGATCCCATGGCACAACCAGATTTCCGATTGTCATGCGTTCCATTAATTTTAAAAAAATTAAGTATTAATTTAACAATTTAAGAAAATATTTGTCTCTCCTGTAATTGGGTGTATGGAAAACATTTGGAAGCATTCATCCGTCTCTCGTACAAGCGGTATAGATATGGAGGTACAGCATCGAACGATTCTACGTTTCTACCGTTATTCAATTTATGAATCTAGCAATAATTTTTGAATATTTACGTAATATTCATGTACCTTATTGGGATATATAGAGAGAACCAGAGCATGCTTAGCAGATATTTTCAGTAGAAATAGATCTGAAAAAATAAGGTATTGTTAATAAATTCAACTTTTCCACTTCAGCTTTAGGTGACTGAGGAATCTTACTTGCGTTGGCTATATTGTTTATTCAGTACAAACATGAATTGCTTGAAGATTGGTGTCTTTGCTTGTATACTAATTCATGTTTCCTTAAATGAGGCGAAGGGTAGATGTGGGGTAAGTAAACCGCCGCGGGTCTGTATTTTCAATATGGCGAAGTCATTGGATTTAATTTGTTTCTCATATTTCTATCAACGAAAGCGGCATATATTATACATCTCATGCATGGCCATGAACTTTTAATTAACCATTTTGTGTACTAGCAAAATAATAATTATAATAATATAATCAGATATTCATATATAATTATCTAAGTCTTGTGCATGCATGTACAGCTGTAGCTGCCAGCAACTTGTACTGCAGTATTTATGAACAAAAAAATTAAATGCAAGGTATAAATGGTATAGTTTACTTTTAACTTGAGTAAGTGGCAGAATTGGCCAGAGAGAAGTCATGTATTTTGGGTTAACAGGCCAGACGTTAGAATAGAGTCTTACTTCGGCAAATAAAAGTTGATAATAATATTATGTGTTCAGGTTTAGAGCTAAAAAACCGCGTATAAAAATCGATCGTACAAAAGCAAGGCACTTTTCCAATATCGCTCCTCAGATCAAATTCGCCATTCCAAAGAAATTTGCTTATACAAAATGAAAGCGCTGTTGAACAGAATTCAGGCTCAAAATGAATATTATAATATGAAAGAATATGAAAGTATAATAATTTATAATTATTCGTGTCTCGATTTTGTATTTACAAAGCTTTTTGCAGATCATACAATTTTTGCATTAATATTTATCTGTGTATATCTCAGTCTCTCTTGTATTTGCAGACCCTTCAATCCTCTTTTGTCGAGAGATGTTCAGAAAATCAAGAAGGAACGTACAGAGTTGCTCTGCAGGTTTGCGATGGCAAGTACTGGCGTTCTAAGAAACGAAATTGCTCTCCTCAAACAGATATCGCTTCCAAATTAAGTATGTCATGCATATATATGCCTATCGCAGCATGGCGATTTTTTCCCGCTATTCACTAATTAATAATACAGTAATGGGATTAACGATACAGATCATAAAAAATTAAGACTCTAAAAATAATTTCGTACCAATTGTTTTTCAAGGTACAAGTTGTCTTGATATAAAAAAGAGAGGTTTGAGTGTCGGAGATGGAAAATATTTGATTGATCCGGACGGAGATGGCGCTGGTAAACAATTTCAAGTATACTGTGATATGACCTCGTTTGGTGGAGGATGGACAATGTGTTACACGACGGACAGTCATGTTAATATTAAAACTGAACTTCTCACCACACCTGCTCTTGGCTATCGTGCAGATTGTAATAATATACCGGTAAATTGACTTTTCTCGAATAAATCGGTGGAATTGTATCATGTCGAAATTGTCCTATATGACATACCTTTGAAGTAAAATGTGGTCAAATGAGGAGTATTTTATAAATTATTGCTCAAATGGCAATTTTTCTGAAACTAAAATACCTCCTCATTTTGCGGTACTAAAAATTCCGGCGGCTGATTGGTCGAGAGGAGTAAATTTGTTTCATTAATCGAACATCACTGGTACTATAATTAATCACGAATTGTACTCGCCATCGCATGATTACCAATAGCTATACTAATAGCCCAACTTCTGTTTGGATAATGTTTACGCTTGTAATTGTGCATACAATTCGTCAATTCCTCTGCATTTTACTGCCAAACGTAAAATTCAAAATTCATCCTTGTCTGCAGGAGTATAACAGATATGAAAATTTCATATCAAATTTATAAGTAATATATATGAATTTAAATAATATTAATTTTAGTACTTATTCAGAACAGTTAATGTAAAAGTAATTTCTTTCTGTTTTAAGTTCACTGAAGTCATATTTGTTGATGAAAAATCCAAACAAAAAGCAGCCTTTAAAAAAAGTGGTTCACCTGTGACATTCACTGGAAATTACGATAAGCGGGCAAATGCTTATGGCTTGTGGACGGCGCAAGGTGTGGCAACAACGCAGTACAAATACCAAATGTTGATATGTGACACAACGTTCTACAAGGGACTGCACTTCTCCGGGTTCACCAAAAACTGCTACAAACAGTGCAATAATTGGTGTAGTGACACAACCTCCGCCTACTTCCGCACATCTGCTGTCTCACACCAAAGTTACAAAGGTGTTGCATTCAACCAGAATGGTCACAAACCGTTGCCAAACCGCCTCATCAGTGCAGGAATTCGTTAACAAAATAATTCGAGCGGAATAATTGAAATGGAATTAAATTTGAATTTAATAAGCTTAATTACCTGATATAATTTGTAGTGTAAATTTGTGAACTGAGTATTTGAAGAAACTCGGTTTACTTGTTTTGTGTTTTTAACATTTCTAATACTTTTTGTCTTTGTATTAAATTCAGTATACTAACAAAAGTAATTTTTTTTTGGTTTTTCTGGAATAAATATTACATTTCATTACGTGAAAACAATTTTGTTTTACAAGAGTTGCGGATAGGGCTTGGGATAACTAGAGACCTTATTATAGACTCGCGGTTACTTTAATCGCCAAACTGTTAACAAATTGTTGCGTTTTAATTATATACTCTGCGACGATTTTCAGCTTGAACGTTTTTTATGAAACTCGTGATATTCATGCATATATCTCGTGATATCAATACATTTATCTCGTGATATCCATGCATTTATCTCGTGACATGCATACATTTATTTCGTGATATCCATGCATTTATCGTTTTGAGCTGCTTTCACAACCAATCTTGCATGATCAGTCCATAGACATTTCAATGGCGAAGAGTTTATCTCAGATAAAAATGCACTAAAGTCTAAAACATTGAAAATTTGTCCACAAAGCCATCGTTTTTGTGATGAAATTACATAATTATATATTATGAAGTCATTCGTTTACTTTCGAATAACTACAATCTTGTTGCCTTAAACAACGATTTTTTAGTGGATTTTTAATTTAAATAATGAAATTTTTTTTATTTTTTTACAATTCAACAGTGTGCGGAATCCTAGTCTTTGCTGCAATCTGATTGGCTGTAGCAACGGGCGGAATTTTACGATATCTGACCACGGTCCGGAATCCTTTTATGCTCGAGCGAAACCGAATTTGTCTTTTTTGTTTTTCTAAAAAGTTAATCGTAAATTTATTCACTTTTTATTTTAAAATATATGCATGACCAAATGAATATGACGATAAATTGAAGTGAATTATAAGAAATTAAACAAATAAGGTTTTGATTGCTTATGTTTTTGTCGCCATTGCGGAGTCTGACTATACACAATGCCAATGATATATAATACGACCGAACGCCGCTTTGTGTACAAAAATAAATACGGTATTTAACGTTTTGGTCGGCCGGGTAGAAAATATTTTTCTTTCCGGACCTCGCAGCCGGGTGAGTTTTTTCTTTAAAGACCGATCTTCACTAGGCATGTAAAGTTATTCGCGGGAAGAGAAGCGAAATTAAAAACGTATATCTGGTGAAGATTGGTAAGCGAAGTAATTGGTAAGCGAAGTAATTCCTCGCTTGAAAGTGCGATCAATTCCTACTTTTTATGAATGTCAATTCACTCTAATATATTATATATTATAAATTCACCCAGTAAAAACGAGCTTTTTTACGTACATCATCTCACCCACTCAACTTGCAAGCTCGCTGTGTTTAATTTCGTGCAATCACAATGCTTGACAGTTTATTACTCCGGCGCCAGCGACGGAGTTGAAAATTCGCCCCGGTTTTGTTTTGTTGTTGTTTTTTTTTTATTTTTCGTCGTCGCAAGTCTGAAATGGCGCGAAAAATTCTAGTATTTCGAAATGTGTATGTAACCGTATTTATCTACGTCCCAGTCTTTTCTCCCAAGAGTTGTGGTGTACAGCTTTGGCTAGTTTTCCGATGCGCGATTCGATTTCGCTCCCATGATACGGCTAGTCCTCCAAGAGGAACAAATAAACCGTTGTTTTCATGCTGTTCGATTAAGTTTAGATTGAATTGGGGTAAGAATATATTTAATACATGTAGATTCTGGTCCTACTTTAATAATATTTCGCCGTTTAACAAGATGATGTGGTCGTGTATTGCGAGCAAATGGCCTTTTTAAATTTTTTTATTTCCATCAGCGAAGCGGCTACATGGGTTTCTATGAAAACTAGCCACACCAGCTCTGGGTTCGCTCGAATCCAGAGCCAGCTCCGTTTTCGCGAACCCGGGTCCACGAACCCGGAGCTAAATATCCTGTCATTTTGTTGCTTGTACCCGCTTACTTCGGGGCTTTTTGTATATGTCCGTTTAGCTTAAACGGTGGATAAGTCAAAATTAAATAACACTCTTACAACTCTCCTCTATGGACTTGAATGAGTCAACTTAATTGAATATTATAAACTGAATGTGTATAGTTGTACACAGTACTTAGTAAAAACATTTATGTTCGCTTGTTGCATAAAACGGAAGACTTGCTTTCTATTTTGAACTTATCCACCGTTTAAGCTAAATGGGCACGATACATGCAACCAGCCCAATGCAGGTGTATTCTTCACCAGTTATTGATTTTGCCAAGTATATTCAATAATTCTCATGCTGATTTGCCTAACAATCTTTAATTTTAATTTACTCAGACCTTTCACTACATAAATTTCCTAAAGAATAAATTTATTCTTTTAGGCTATCCACCCATTCATTTTCGTCTATGCGGATAATTCGTGTTGATGAAGGATCCGTTTGTTTACCCGTGTTTATACACAGATGAACTATTAATCTTGCTTGCCCACTAGTTCGTCTAGCCTAATGATCCGTAGTATAAATTGGGCCAATCGTGCAAGCTTAAATTGATCACGAAATTTACAATCATTTACTGCAAGGTTTGTTTCCAAGGCTCAGCTTCAATGCCTTCCACAACTATTTTGCCTAACAAAAACTCATTTGGAAAGATCTCACCTGCATGTATTTTTGACTTCACCGACTATACGCTGCACGTTTTTTGACGCCGCTTTCCAGTGACCAAACGGTCCAAACCTGGGACATTTTGAGTCGTTCGCTGGGAAACTTTTCTTAAGATGCATAGGTTAAGTACCTACCACATTTTCCCTTGCCTTTGTTTCATTTGTCTTGCTCACAGAGGCTTAACTCTTTATTATTTTTTTTGTTTTCGCAAGCTTCTCTACGCGCATGCACATGTTGATTTGCTGCCCGTTTACCGTCGCTTCGAAGGAAGCCTTGCTCCTACTTTCTGACGGCCTATTTCTGTCGAGCGATGTTCGCGGCTTTTCCAATGCTGACTTTGAATGCTTCGAGCTGTAATTTTCCGACAAGGCTTTCTCTCGGATTCCAACAACAATAGAATCACGGATCAGAGTTCTTTGCGTAGAGCTGAAATCACAATGTTCCGCAAGATTAAACAAGTCTACATGTAGCTATCATAAATACGTCGAGGGTCTCCTCTTCCTACTGGCTTCGCAAATTGAACTTTTCTCGCTCAAAGATTACGTTTCTCTTAATGATGAAGAAATCTCCTAGTTTCTTTTTAAGTTCATTCAGTATGATCGTCCGCTTCGCTATCCATTGAATAAATGAGGGCATTAATCGGGTTTTCTTCGCTTTCCTTCTCAAGACCAGACGCTATTCTGAACCATGCAATCAATTTCAAGCAACATACTCTGCATTGAAAGAAAATATTTCCGGTGGTTGCACTTGTCCCGTAACAGAGCGACCAGGGTCTTGCAAGATGTTATTGGCGGTGTCTCTGACGAAAACTAGTAAAATCACTCGTTGTTAAAATTTGAAGGCCGTGTAAACGAATTTTAGCCCGTGGGGATTTAATGCAACTTATAAAATGCTAAATACGAAAAATTTGAAATTGTGAATATCATTATGATATAATTAAATTTAAATTAGCCTTGTTATTGCTTTGAAAGAAAATGGTACAGCTGACCGCCGAGCAACGAGTGTTTATTGTGATATTATCCCAACAGAGTGCTTAGGCATTCGAACTCTAACAATTACATTGTTATGGGTGATTTCAATAGTTTTCGGGGTTTTTTTTGAGACACCCTGTATATCATGCTCTAACCCTTACTCAATGTGCATATGTCATAACTTCAACAGGAATTCAGGACATACATAATATATACATAATCAGAATTATGCATGCTGATGTTAATATGCTAGAGCACAACAATTTGCTCTTAAACTAAGGAGTTCAATAAAAGTATTTACATGCATGCATCATGTTTAAGCAAACAGTTACAAACATGAGTAAGCAAATGGCTATCCACATCTTATCCCACAAACGCGTAACAAATGAAGGTGTCGAAAACCACGATAGCAAGTGCTACAACGCACTGTATTGCATGCGTAGGGGAATTGACTTGTAATCCTAGTTCTTCCCCTAGCCAAGTGTATAAAGTCTGAGCACAATCAACCACGGGCAGAGAAATGCGTATAGCATTCTTCGTAAGGCCTCAGTGCCTAAATATTATATTATTGTAAAAGCAAAAGTACTAAACAAAAGGAGTTAAAAGCCCCGTTTACACTACACTCAATTTATTGGTACGGCACGGCGAAAATGGGTACCTGTGCCCATTTTATCTATGCTCGGCCTTTGTTTTGGTATAGCCTGAACACAGACCACTAATAAAATAGGGTACGGGTACCAATTTTAGCCGTGCCGTGCCAATAAATCGAGTGTAGTGTAGACTGGCCTAAAGTTGAAGAGGCTTTGTGGAGTTGTGCTTATAGACATGCAGAGGTTAGCACAATAGGTTAGCACCAATTTCTCTTAAAGCCAAAGCATAAGAATTAACCAACTCACCCGGATGCTGTACACGTTGATGAAAATTATATCTCTGCTCAGTCGCTGTTAAGTTTCAAACAACACTTTTAAGCGTTCAGCCCATTGTTTTGCAAGGGTTTGATGCTTGCTCGACGTCTTCGCTTCAGCCATGTTAATACCACTTTCCCAACTGTACTGCAAACGCAGTTAACAAACGCCAATACAAACACACCAATTTTCCCGATATAAACACAGAATTCTGTCGCGGTGGGACCTCCAAAAATGTAACGAAGCACTCCCCTTAGATTAACTTCCTATTTATTACTTTGTTACAAGCTCACAAATATAACTTCAAACTACTTTCAAAACGTCGCCCTATCGTTGTTCTCACGTGTCTCTCCTATCTCTAATATTACATACTTCAAAAGGCACTAAAATATCATACTTCAAAACGACACTACTTCTCATACGAAAGAAAGCCCGTTTTTACTGGGGGAATTTATAAATGTATAATATATTAGAGTGAACTGACATTCATAAAAAGTACGATCACACTTTCAAGCGAGGAATTACTTCGCTTCATTAATTCGCTTACCAATTAATTCGCTTACCAATTACTTCGCTTACCAATTACTTCGCTTACCA